CGCGGGCGGCGGGGCTGCTCACCAAGCCCCCCAACCTGGACGCCGCGCTGGCGCTGCTGCGCAAGGAGATGGTAAGGGTCCACGGGCGGGCAGGATGTGGGGTGCGCACCCCGACGAGGGGAGACAGGCTGCCGCCGTGTGCGGGGTGCTTTCGTGCGCCTCTGGTGTGGACGGCAGATGGACAGCTCTCTTCCCGTTCGCGGGCTGCGCGTCCGGAGTCCGATTTCGCAGATCGTGAGGTGCCCGGGGGAGCCCTCGCCGGGAAGAAGGGGAGGCGTGGTGCCCCGGGCGGGAAGTCCGCGTGGCGGCTCGGATGTTGCCGCGTCCCGGACGGCGGGGCTTAGCTTCTCCCACAGCTGGGAGTGAAGCGCGTGGGGTTGGACTCATGGTTATGAGGCGCCGGGAGCAGAGCCATTGCGGGGATGTGGGCCACGGCGGGTCTCGCCCAAGCGCGCCCTCCCTTCAGGCTTAGGCCAAGGGGTTGGAAACGGCCTGGTTCCTGAGCAGCGCTGGCCCTGATCGCTGCCGCCCCCTGTGCTCCTGCTAGTCGGGTATCTCTTCCTCCCCTGGGTCCGGTAAATTCTTTATTAAGAAGACCTAATATAGGAATGTCATATTTCCCCCTACGAATAAATTTGCCGAAAGATTGCTAAAGAAATTTTTTTTTTTTTTTGTCTTTTTGAGACAAGGTCTGGTTATGCCATTCAGGCTTCCCTTGAGTTCACTTTGTAGCCCAGGCTGGTCTCAACTCACTACAACCCTCCTGCCTCAGCCTCCCCAGTGCTGGGATTACAGGCGTGTGCCACCACCCCCGGCTCTGTTTTTAAAGATAAAAAACAAAAACAGTGATACAAAATTTCAAAACAAGATAGTAGGAGGGTAACAATGGTTAATATATTGCATATTGTTATCTTCAAAGTAGTTGCTCAGATTACAAGATACAGGCATGAAAAAGTGATCAAACAATATAAGCACAAACTTTGCTTTTCAATAATGAACTAATAGAAATTAATAGTATAACTCTCTTAACTATACGGTTTTTTTTCGTTTTCCTTTCCATCTTTTTCCCTTTCCCCTATCCCAGTTTCTCTTTCTTTCAAAACAGTTTCTTCCCATTTCCCAGTATCTGTTGTCCATTTTGGGTCGTATTTTCTCTTTCAGCTTCTCACACAAGGGAGACAATACGATGTTTATACATGCGAGTCTGATTTATTTCACTTATGAGTATGGTCTCAAGTTGCATCCATTTACCTATGAAAGTCTCAAGTTTATCCTTCTTTATAGCTGAGTAGTACCTCGTTGTATAAAAATACTACATCTTTTTTATCCATTCCTTGGTTGATGGGCATTTGGGTTGTTTCCAAGATTTAGCTATGATAAATTGTGCTGCTATAAACATGGATGCTCATTTATCGCTGTGGTATGATGTCTTTAATTCTTCTGGGAAGATGCCCAGAAGGGGAATAGCTGGGTCAAATGGGACCTCTAATCCTAGTTTTTTGAGGAATCTCCACACTGATTTCCACAGTGGCTGCATCAGTCTACACTCCAAGGGACCTTGGAGAAGGGTTCGTTTTCCCCTACAGCCCCACCAGCATTTGTTACTGGTTGATTTCTTGATGATAGCCATTCTTTCTGGGGTGAGATGGAATCTCAATGTTGTTTTAATTTGCATCTCTCGAATGACCAATGATGTTGAACATTTTTTCATATATTTATTTGCTGTTTGTATATCTTCATCTGAGAAGTGTGTATTCATCTCAGATGCCCATTTTTGCTTTGGATCTCTGAATTTTGGGGGTCTGTTTTTTTTCAATTGCTAAAGGAATCTTTTCAATACACATCCAGTGCATTTAACATATTGCTTATAAAAACTAAACTTATGCATAGTTTTTTTAGCATATCTGTTACAAAAACTAAGACTTAACTGAGTCACACTTTTTAATCAGAAATTGGCCCACTCTGCACCTGGCATTTCTGGTTCTGTCTGAAAAGCTTTTTTTTTTTTGTCTTTTTGAGACAGGGTCTTGCTATGCAGTTCAGGCTGACCTTGAGCTCACTTTGTAGCCCACGCTGGCCTCGAACTCCCAATGATCCTCCTGCCTCAGCCTCCTGAGTGCTGGGATTACAGGGGTGTGCCACCACGCCCAGTTGAAAAGCTTTTTAAAAACCACTTACGCCCAGGCCCACATGATGCTTTGCACCTATGATTCCAGCACTCTGGGAGGCTAGAGTGGGAGGATGGTTGAGTTCAAGCCCAGCCCAAGCAACTTAGTGAGTCTCTGTCTCAAAATAAAGTATGAAAACAAAAACGACTGGGGATGGAGCTCAGTATGAAGGCCCTGTGTTCAATCCCTAGTATAAAAAACAAACAGAAAAAGCCTCCAAACGGCTTACGTTCCAAGCCAGCAGTTTTTATTTACTAATTAACATTAAATGACGGGCATGTGGCACAGCTGGTGAACAGCATTTTACTCAGATGCAGCCACTTGTTTACAGCCTAAACTTGGACATAGTATAAGTTGAGGGTGAAGGAGGAAGACCCACCCTGTTCCTTTCTTGAATGAGAGGCAGGACAGGCTCAGAGCCACTCCTGTTGTGAAGCTCTGGTTTATAAACACGTTCCCAAGACTTGAGACTTGCAGTGGTGGCTGGGCGCCACCAGCACCGGAAGTATTTTCCAGGTCTCTGCTGGTGTGAAGGAGGGGCCTCCTTATAATTACGCCTTGGCCCAGAGCTCCCCTCCCATAGCTACGAGAAGCACAAGGGAAAATAAACAGCCATCTCTAGTCTGCCTGGTACTTACGATGATGATAAATATAAGGTATGACTACAGGCCTTGACAAGTCCCTTTCAAGCAGAGTCACAGATCTCTAAAAGTACTATCTCGTGGGCCTTAAAGAGATTTACTGACCTGGGGCAGTGAGTCCCAAAGGGCATCTCATGCTGAGACCCTCACTGGGGAGACCTTGCCCCCAAAGATCAGGGCATTCACTTCTGAATCATCTGCAGAATGTCTGTGTTGATCCATTTAATTTGAAAGTCTGAGGTCAAATTAGTGAGCAGCAACATAACTAGCTGTCATGGGCAGAGGTGGGTAGTGTAGCCCAGTGATAGGATCCTGCCTAGCATGTATGAGGCCTTGGGTTCAACCCCAGTACTGCAAAAAAGAAAGAAAAGAAAAAGAAAAGAAAAGATTGCTGATGTCTGTAGTTTATTGAGAGGAACAGTCAATGCTTAAAATTTTCTTTTTTCTTGACCAATTTTACATGCTTGAATTTGGTAATTAGAATGACTGATCTGTAAACAGTATGCAGTATAAGAACCATTGTTGAACTCCTACCATTTTGTATGGTGAAGCTCTACATCATTTCCAATTTTTTTTAATTATTATTTTTTTACTTGTTACTGTCTGATTGTTTGATCAGTCTTACATTCTTATGCCTAGTGGACTGAGCAGCTTCGTTGAAGATAACAGTATGTAACATAGCAACCATTGTAAATTTCTGTCATTTTGTCTTGAGGTCATGTACCATTTTTGTGGTTTTTGTGTTGTTTTGATTTTGCCTTCATGGTTGTTTTGTCAGTTTTTAAATTTTTAAAATAAAAAAAAAACATTAGCTAAAAAAAGGAAAAGGAAAGAGAAAGGAGAAAAAACAAAAAGAACAAGTGTCAGGGCAGAATAAAAAATGCAGGGGCAGGTCTCAGGCAGAGATGAGGAGGACTCCTTCAGGGGTGTCTAGCACTTCTGAAAGCCTCAGGTGACAGGACAGAGATCACCAGGAAGGTAGCAGAAAGCTGGAACTGAGAGCCTGAATCTGGCTGGCCCAGGAATCTGATTGAGGGGGCCTGAGGAGATGGCCTGGGCTGTTGGAATCCTGGAGGAGCAGAGGGTGCCTCTGGCAGGGGAAGGGCACAGTCTGGGCTGGACCCTGAGCTGATCTCAGAGATTCCTGGGGAGATGCCCTGGATGGGTGCAATCTGCTGCAGGGAAGGTGAAGAAAAAGTTGACCTAAGCATTTTTATGGAAGTGGAGCTAGGGGAAACAATTAAAAGTGACAACTGCGCTGGGAGTGGTGGCACACGCTTGTAATCCCAGCAATCGGGAGGCTGAGGCAGGAGGACCGTTGCGAGTTTGAGACCAGCCTGGGCTACCAAGGCCAGCCTGAACTGCAGAGTGAGACCCTGTCTCAAAAAGACAAAAAACAAAAAAGTGACAACTCCTATCATGGCAAGATGGTCACTGCTGATGTATCTCCTGTGTAGGGAAAATGTAAGTCCTTTACATACACAGTCTTCCTTAATCCTGATTGTAAATTCTCCATGGGATAGGTACTCAAAGACTTTTATTTTTAATTTTTACTTCTGGGTTTGTTTGTTTTGAAAGGTCTTGTGTAGTCCTGGCTGGTCTTTAATTCACTAGGTAGCCCAGGCTGGACTCAAACTCATGCCAGTCCTCCCGCCTCTGCTTCCTGAGTGCTGGGATTATAGGTATGTGACATTACACCCAGCTGAAAAGCTATTTTATACTTTAAAAGAAAAATCAGTTGCTCAGAGTTTAACTTCCATACGATCACAGACCCCATTAGGTGTATCAGGCTCCTAAGTGCTGTTTAATTATTGCACTGTACTGTCTGTGCACACATGCACATGCTCACATGCACACACACAGATCACACTGTACATTCTGGTTTGCTTTTGGGGGGCACATACTGCAAACATTCCCTTAGTCAATATTTAGTAGTGTCTTCAGTGACACATACTGAGCCATTGTATGGCAGCAACAGGTGATGTTTTGAACTTGATAATGGATCCTTGGGAAGAGGGGCTCCTCCCTGCAGTGTGGAATGAATGGGGAGGAGTTGTTTGGGGAAGGTGGTGCACATATTACATCAGCGCTGGAGTGTGTTTAACATTTCACAATGTGGAGCTGGGTGGAAGAGCAGTCTAGGCCTGGAGATACCCGACTGTGGAGCTGGTCGGGGCCTCGAGTGCAATAGCAAAAGAGGGGCAATGGGCTCACCCAGGGTGGGACCCGAGGGAATGAGCACCCAGGGCTGGCAAGGCAGCG